TGCCGATTTAATCAGCGCACGCATAGATCACGCGCCGCACCCGCGGGGCTGTCTGTCGGTGGACGTGCACACACAAACAAAGGCGCGCGCACACACACACACACACACACACACAATGCACACATTGAAAAAGCACAGCCATATGGGTATCCATTCCCGCACGCAACGTGGTGGCAGGACACAGCAGTCAAATTTCCGCCTTCCCAAAAGCATTATAGTATTTTAAAATTCAAAACAACGTTGGACTGCCTGTCTAGAGCTGAGGGTATCTATGTGTATGCGTAGGACTGTGTAGGTGTGGGCGTAGGAGTGTGTGTGTGTGTGTGTGTGATGCCCACCCTTCCGCTTTGCGAAATAATGCAGTGGTGATGGCCAAAAACTGGGTCACAGAGTGGACGGCGAGGGCGGCATAGGAAGCGCAGGCGTGGAAGCAGAGGCACTAGTGCACTACTACAGCACTACGCTGTCACGTGAGGTGGAGGGCCGCGACTTGACTCGTCGCTCCGCCGCCTCCGTCCGTCTCTCTCGCACTCGTGAGGCGTGCCATGGAGGTGCGAGGGAGAGCGAGAGCGCGCCGTCAGGTGGCGTGCGCGGTGGCGGCACGCCTTCGCGCCAAGCAAGCCAAGCCCGTCCGTCCAGTCATCGAGATGAAACTCTACGCCGACCATTGTGCTGGATCACCATCGCCTCTCCTCCTCCTCCTTCTTCTCCTTCTCCGCGAGCATTCATTCCGGCCCTCCGCTCACGCTCCGCGGCACGGCCGCGCAAAGTTTGTGCTCCGTGAAGGACTCCTAATAAGGTAACGGTGTGGCGGCGCGGCGCTGCGTGCCATGGCGTGGGCTCCTTTTTCAGACGGGCCCTGAATACCCAGAGAGGCTCTCGCGGCGCTCGCGGCTCGACTCTCGTCGCGCGGGGCAGCCCCCTATAATTAGCGCAAAGCATCAAAGTGCCGCGGACGCACGCCGGCAACGGCGCCACCCGCGTCGACTTGGACACCTTTTGGGCGTTTGCCCTTTTTCTGCCCTTACAAACAGTCTCAGGCGACAGGCGTGTCCGGGTTCGCGGGTCCGCGGACGCTTGGTTGGCCCGGATGGCCCGGATGGCCCATTTTCGCCGCGAGACTGCGAGACGCCTCCTCCGATAAAGCGATGCGGTGACCACGTTTTCCTTTCAGCGACGCCCGGCAGAGTATAGGGTGGCCCCCTTGGCCCTGCCTGGCCACGCGGAGTGTAGGGTGGCCACGCGGCCCTGCCGCTTCCCCCAGGACAACTAACTTTGGTTAGGCCGGGGCAGGGCCGCCACGCCCTGGCCGGCCAGTTCGTCCGGAATAAACATTTCTCTACCCGGAGTGCGTGGGGGCTAAAACAAGGGCAAGTTGGAGGAGATCCGCGGTTGTCGGCATGGCCGAGCGGGCAGAGCAGCCGTCTCTCAACCGAAGAGTGCTTGGTTCGATGCCTGACAATTCCGGGAGCGTTTTTTGGACTTTGATGATGACGTCAACATTTTCAAACTTCATAGCCGCCTTTGGCTGCGATTTTCGCCGGCTGGTACGTTGCAGTTCCCCAGCTTCCATTGTTTAAAAGTTTTGCAGGCGTGGGCTCTCGTCCATGCAGGAGCTCCAGGAGGGCCGGGCGGGCAGGGCCACGGGGCCGCAGGGCCATCGCCAAGCTGTTTGCCGTGGGGCTCGCTCTGCAAACTGCGGTCTGGTCTACCACAGAGACGTCCAACAACTGGAGAGGGCACAGGCCAACGACGGGGCGGGGCGGGGCGTGGCGGGGCGGCTCAGCAAAGCCGGGCTACGTGTGCGGCATGCACGCAGCGCATCGCCGTCCAAGGTGAGGCAGGCATTTACCGTCGGAACAAAAAACCGCCACCACAGCGGCGTCATTGCTGGGGAACGAGAGGGAGGGAGGGACGGCGGTCTTGTGTCGCGGACATCAACTCCACTCTGAGGGGAGCATGACGAAAAGTGGGGGCAGAAAAAGCCAATATAAACGGGCAATCTGCCTCTCCTTCCCCTCGGCCACCGCGCCGCCGCGCCACCGCCTCGCCGCGTCACCGCCCTGTCCCTGCCGGGCTGCCGGGGCGTGCCCCGAACTCCGGCCCGGCCTGCCTGCAGATTATAATTAAGGCGCACCGGTCGCTTTTTCTTTTTCTCTCTCTCTCTTTTCGTGCGTTTCTCTTCCTTTTTGCCAACTCCAGAACCTCTAGGTGTCTTGTTTCGCAGGGAGCCATTAGGGGATGCCCCCCGAGGCGAGGCTAGGCGAGGCTAGGCGAGGGGAGGGTGTCGACTTGCCGGCCGGTCCGGGGCAGACAGCAGACTGATTCCGAGAGTCGTTTTCGTCGCTGTCTCTCTCGCACCTATACGGGACGCCCCGTGAGTGCGAGAGAGACAGAGCGACGAAAACGACTCTGGAATCAGTCTGCAGGGCGGGCCGGGCTTGGACGAGGCGGGAATCAAAACGAACCGCCACGCGGCGCTCGCCCAGCCAGCCACGCCACCGGAAAGCGAGTGGGCGCGGCGTGCCCCGCGCCGAGCCGTCGCTCCGTCTCCCTCGCACGCGCGGTGCGTCGCGCAGGGTGAGCGGACGGGGCGACTGCAGCATCAAACTAGCGCGTGGCAGGCTGGGCGTGTGCGTTACGGATCGCGGATATGGAGAAGGATGAAGGACGCCGGGTTGTTGGGGCGACGCGAAAACAAGAGGCGTGTTATCTTTGGCGAGTTTCGGGTGTAGTGCGCGGCTCGAAGCGGCACGGAGCGGCACGGAGCGGGATGCAGCGGCCGGGGGCGGCGCGAGGAAAGGGGTGCCAAGGAGTTGGCGTGTTGATTCAAATGAGTGCGGCACAGCATGCTAGACAAACACCAAGTCGCCCCGCCCCGCCCCACCGCGCCACGCCAGACTGAATACATTTGCGGAACACAGAGCAGCGCGCCGCTCCCGGGTGCCTTGTGTTAATTACCATATCCGTAAGACATCGCTTCCCCGGTGGGACGCTCCTCGGCGCCACGCCGCCCAATCGAGAGCGGCGCCTTGAGTGCGCGCGCGCGCACGCCTCGGCGCCGCCGCCGAGGAGGACGTCCTGGCCGCTGTCGAGGAGGACGTCCTGGCCGTCGTCGAGGAGGACGTCCTGGCCGTCGTCGAGGAGGATGTCCTGGCTGTCGACGAGGACAACGTCTTGGTCATCGCCGAGGAGGACATCCTGGCCGCTGTCGAGGAGGACGTCTTGGTCGTCGTTGAGAAGGACGTCCTGGCTGCCGTCGAGACAGGATGTCCTGGCGGTCGTCGAGGACGCCCTGACTGTCGTCGGCGACCTGGCCAGCCGGCGGCCTAACCGCATCAGGCCACTGCGTGCCCGCGGGCGCCGTGCCCAGTGTCGCCGACGAGGGCGTAACCGGATTAGGCCGAGCAAACACGACATGACACGTGCGCGTCGCATCACGACGCCAAGAACGAGAAGAAGGAAAAGGAGAGCTGCTTCTCCGCGGGGAAAGAACGGTCCTAGTGGTGGCGAAGGTGGCAGGCATGATGAACGAGGGCGAAAGTGGCAGTGTAAGGGGCCGGCGGCCGCCTTGACGGGGCTCGGGGGCACGGCCACGGCACGGCCAGGGCACGGCGCCGGCTTGACCACCCCGGTGTTAATCCTGTTGGGATTACGGCGCCCACAAGACGCCGGGCAGGATTAGCGGGCCGGCGTCGTTAGCTGCATCGCAAACGCCAAGCGGGGGTGGAAGGGGAGGGGGAGGGGGGCTTCCGGGCAAACTACTTCTGGCACTGGCCGTTGGCACCCCTGCCCTTGGCTCGGGCCCTGCCAAGGGCCCTGCCCTCGGCCCTACACTGCTCGCCCTTCGTCCTGCCACGGCATGCCAGCGCGCCCCCGCGGGGGCCGGTCTCGCCTGGCCCGGGGGCCCACGCCCAGGAGCGCTCCCCCAGGACGGGGAGCATGGCGGAGCATGGCCTGCAGGGCGAGCGGCGAGGGTGTGGTCGCGCCGCCGCGCCCCGCCGCGCCAGGGCGGAGGTTGCGAACAGCGAGCTTCAATCAGAAGGCATACATTAGCAATGACGTAAACGTGTCGCCAGACGCGGCGCGCGCTCGCACCGACGCGCTCCCCGCCGCCACCATGACCCCCAAGGGGGCGTGCGTGGATGGGCGGCAGCGCCCCGAGCAGCACTCGTCGTGGCTCACCATTTCAAGTAGCATTTTCTCTGCGGCTTACTTTAGAAAAAAGAAGGAAACAAAACAAGATTTGAACCCCGGGCCTTCGGACTTGGACAGCAAAACGCTGTTCCGCCAGGCGTGCAGCGACTGCGCTTTAAGGCCTTCAGGGCGAAGCGTTTGTCCGTCTCGCTTGCTTTGTTTGTGATTGCCCTGCGAATGAATAAGCCAGCGCCCAGGGAACGTGAAGTTTAAATAAGCAGTTCTTTCTTTGCCAAAGCGGCGCTCATTTCACAGGCCGTTTTGACATAATGGCCTGCCGTGTTGTTTGCACCACACGGGGCCAGGGGTGGCCGAGGGGAGGGGGCGGGAAGGGGGCAACCTGTTGCCGTCGGCACCCGTGTGAGGAGGCCGGTGTCGCTCAAACATTTCATTCATTCAGCAGTCCTGCGCCGACACGGTGAGTTTATCTATAAACCACCAGGCGCTGGGGCAAGGCGGGCCCCGTTGGGCCGGCGCCCTGCCCGGCCCCCGCAACCCCGCCACCCTTTGCCCCCTCGGGCTTGGGCAAGGCCCTGGGCAAGGCCCTGGGTACAGGGCATCCCGCCCGCGGGAGGGTTTAGGGAGGCTTTCTCTCACTTGCGATGAATTATTGAGCGGACTGTCGCAATCCGTTTGGCCGCTGATACGGGCAGGCCGTGACCGCACGCCGACACGCTGTCGGCCGTCCCGGGCGGGCACTGCCGGCACTGCAAGCGCCAGGGAGCGCCGACACTGGAGGAGGCGACACGCACGACCACGCCGGGGGCCGACCCGGGCCCAGGGACAAACGACAACACACTCACCGTTGTTGAACTCCTCCACGGCTTTGGGGATGCCGTTGCTCTCAGTGTTTCGCAGTCGGCGTCCTGGAAAAGAGAGAGACGGGGTTGTAGCACATCGCAACGGTCAACGATCTTCAGGTACGCAGCAGAGGAGTATTTTGAGAGCACTTAATGTGTACTACCACGGACGGGATCCGACCCCCGTACGGCCAAACAGGGGTGGGATTCTTTTGACCGTGGCATGGTGGCAGTACTACACAGTATTGAGATTAAATAGTTAGTAACATTACGAAGTTTGTTACTGTAAGCATATGTGTGCTCAAACTACTTTATTGTCACAAAGTTCTCTCTTAACGCCTGATCGAAAGTGCGTGACAGTCCGCCAGTCCGCGCCTACACCGCCAAAACCCAGGCATAGTTCACAGCGCTCTCCCCCTTTTTTCGGCGTGTGCGGCCCTTATCAGCGTATCAGCGCGACACACGCCGCGCGATACGGCAATTAGGCCGGCAAAGCATCGCTTTGCTCGCGACGACGGTGTCCCGTTTCCTCGGCCCTTCCGGTCCGGAGTTGGCTGAATCCGTTTATCCGGAGCGGCAGTTGTTCGACGTTGACGCGGCGTGCGCTTGTTTGTCATGAATGAGTGAGCGTGTGATCCGTCAGGCCGTCGCCAACCTCGTCACTCCGTCGCACTCGGGGGCCCGGCCGCGCCGCAGGGGAGCGAGAGAGACAGAGCGACTCTCCGCGCCGGGCCCGTCAAGCGGATGAGTGGTGTTATCACGTCGGCACACCCGGCTGGCTCTGCTGGCTCTGCTGGCTCGCCCCCTTCTCGCCGCGGCTAGGCGCGCACTGCGGCTGCCTTGCCTGCGCACTGCGTGTCGCGGACGAGCAAAGCCGTCGCCCTTAAAACAGGAGCACGTCGCCCTGAGCTGCTCAAACACCGTTCAGCGCGCTGATCGTGTGTGGTGATCTTCGTGTCCGCTTCGTGTCCGTCAACAGGCTCCAGCCCCGTCCGCTTGCGTGTGAGAGTGTGTGTGTGTGACACCGAGCGTTTCGCCACCAGTGCTAGCCGCGCAGTGACCCCGCCCTTCGGAGGGCGTCGTTTCGTCGCGCCGTCTCTATCGCACCCCTGCGTCGCGGCCCGAGAGCGCGCGAGAGAGAGAGAGAGAGAGAGAGAGAGAGAGAGAGAGAGAGAGAGAGAGAGAGAGAGAGAGAGAGAGAGCGAGAGCGAGGGCCTCTTCGGAATCAGCCTGCCGGGCATCGCCTCGCCGGCATCGGATTAGCCGACAGACAATTTAAATAATCCGGCCATCGTGCGGCCCGCGCGTCCACCCGGCCAGCCAGCCCCCCCCCCCCCCCCCTCATAGCTGGTGCCACCTGAGCTTCATCCTGGCAGGCCCGACTTCCCAGCGGCCCAGCGGCGCTCATACCGCCAGCACACTGTGCAGCCCCGCCGGGCCGCCAGGCAGCCGGGAATAAAAGTTGGCTCGCCAAACAGGGAAAGAAAAATAAAACACTTAGAGCGATGATCAATCTCAGTCAATGCCAAGTTGGGCGTCGCGCCGAAGGCCGGGCCAAGGCTGGAGGGCTCGCCCTTCGCGAGGCTAGCGCCGCCTGGCGGGGTGACGTGGGAAACAAAACCCGCGCCGGGAATCACGCGGTGCTCCTCGGCCGGGTCAATTAAAAATGAAGGATCGCGGCCGGAAAGTCGGGGGAAAGTGACGACGGCAGTGGGGGTCGAACCGCGGATCTTACCGTCGCAGGGTGACGCGCCAAGGCGCACGCCCACGGAGCAGTGCCAACGGCAGCCGCGTTTGAGAGACACAGTGAAAAACAGGCGAGCCAACACACCCCAAAAATAATGTTACAAATGACTTGGGATAAGTAAACTGACTTGAACGAGTAAATTATCTTGTTGCTAGTAAATTATCTAAAGATTCGAGAGAGAGATCAACCCCCTTTCCGGGTGAAGCGCAGCTACACTACAAAACCGCGATAAAGAGACACACAGTGCGAAACAGCCGAGCCAAAACACCCCAAAAAGGTGATGATTAACTTGATTACAAGTAAATTGACTTGCGGTAGTTAACTCCCTTGTTGCTAGTAAATTATCCAGATTCGAGAGAGGGAGATGAACCGACCCCGTTTCCGGGTGTAGCGCAGCCAAACTGGCGTTCGGACCGGGCACTGCGGGCGGCGCGCGCGGCGCGGGGGGACAGGAAGCGCTGCGGGATGCCGGCTGCTGATCGCCGCAAAAAGCAGCAAAAAGCGGCAAGCCGCGCGGCAGAATAAAACGACTGGCAAATCAAACAGAGATACGCCGCGGCCGTGTCACATGCTCGGGCGTAAACATTTTTATGTGGCGTGTTTCGGTGGGGCCGCCAGGCAGGCAGGCAGCCAGGCAGGCAGGCAGCCAGGCAGGCAGCCAGGCAGGCAGCCTGCAAAGAGGGTGGGCGTCATTACCAGTAATCCCTGGGCCGCACTGCTTTACGATATTCGTCCACTTTCTTCGGGTATATGTCGGCGTTTTGATGGCTCCTTTAAGGGTGCGGCCCCGGGGAGCCTCTGGCCTGGCCGGCCCCGCGGCCTTGGGGCTTGCCTTGGGGTGTGGCGGCGAGCCCTGAGGGTCGCGATGAAGGCCGAGTGAGCTGTCAAGTGCCTGCCATGAAGGGCCCGCCACGCCAAGGGCCCGCCGGGGGCCCCGCCCCTCCGGGAAGGCGACCGCGGAGGAGGGGCCGAACACGTGTGAGCGCAGCGATTCGGGGATCAAGTGAAAGTAATGAGTCATCAAGTGCTTAACGGTGGCGCGGGGCGCCGGCCTGGCGTGGGCGGCCATGTCGCATCGATGGGCCCCGCGAGGCCCCGCGAGGTGCGCGGCCAGTGCGGGTCAAATTAGTGGCGGGCCCCAACTCCGGGTGGGCAGCACAGCGCGCCCAGCGGGATATTGAGATGAGCAGCGCGAGGGCCTTGATGACAAGGGTGGACGGGCGGACCGACGGACGTGGGGATGAAACTCATATCGCACAGCAACAGTAAAACTAGGCCGGGCTGCGCGGGGCTGCGGCTAGGCCAAGCCACGCCCGCCGAGCTACGCGTTGTGGAGGCCGGAGGGGCAGCGGGATGGATGGACCGCAAGAGCGCGCAGGAGTGAGGGCTGTTTGGCGGCCAGAGGAAGAGTGAGGGCTGTTTGGCGGCGCCAGAGGAAGAGTAAGGGCTGTTTGGCGGCCAGAGGAAGAGTGAGGGCTGTTTGGCGGCCAGAGGAAGAGTAAGGCTGTTTGGCGGCCAGAGGAATAGTGAGGGCTGTTTGGCGGCCAGAGGAATAGTGAGGGCTGTTTGGCGGCCAGAGGAAGAGTGAGGGCTGTTTGGCGGCCAGAGGAAGAGTGAGGGCTGTTTGGCGGCCAGAGGAAGAGTGAGGGCTGTTTGGCGGCCAGAGGAAGAGTAAGGGCTGTTGGGCGGCCAGAGGAAGAGTGAGGCTGTTTGGCGGCCAGAGGAATAGTGAGGGCTGTTTGGCGGCCAGAGGAAGAGTGAGGGCTGTTTGGCGGCCAGAGGAAGAGTGAGGGCTGTTTGGCGGCCAGAGGAAGAGTGAGGGCTGTTTGGCGGCGCCAGAGGAAGAGTAAGGGCTGTTTGGCGGCCAGAGGAAGAGTGAGGGCTGTTGGGCGGCCAGAGGAAGAGTGAGGGCTGTTGGGCGGCCAGAGGAAGAGTGAGGGCTGTTGGGCGGCCAGAGGAAGAGTGAGGCTGTTTGGCGGCCAGAGGAAGAGTGAGGCTGTTTGGCGGCCAGAGGAAGAGTAAGGGCTGTTTGGCGGCCAGAGGAAGAGTGGGCGTGGTCGGCACGGCCAAGATGAGCGACACAAATCATGAATCACCATGTCGCCTCCATGTCTCCATGTCGCCGAGCGACAGAGACGTCCCTCCCATTAGGCCGGGCCGTTTTTATATCCCGGCCGGCCGCTCTGTCTGTACAAGTAAATGAGAAAAGTGGACCCAGCCCGTTCGTTCGTTTCCGTTTGTAACGTCAAAGAGATGAGGGAAAATGGGGCGGGGGGCAACTTCCCCGCCGACTCGCAGCTCGTCTGCTGGAATGGGAGCGGTCAGGACCACGGCCAGGGCACGGCCAGGGCACGGCCAGGGCACGGCACGGCCGTGGGGGCGACCTTTCAATAGAACCGTTCCCATTTCGAATTCCATGCAGAGTGCTGCGCCAGGTGTCTCAACACACACACACACACACACACACACACACACAGGGGCGCGGATGCAGAGCGGAAAGGTCTGCAGCGTGGCGTCGTCTCCCCCGAGACGTCCGCGACGGCCCCAGCGCCAGGCGGCGCCCCTCTCACTTGGCGCACTACTTGACGGCGAGGGGGAGGATAACGTCCGCAATCAGTAAAAATATCTTTCCCGAATCCGATTACACGCGCCTTGAGCCCCGAGGCCGCCCCGCCAGGCCCCGCCAGGCTGGCAGATGAATGCAGAGGGGCGGCGGAGAGGGAAAACTTTTTTTTCCGCTATGAATTATGTAAGGTGAAGCCTCGGCAGGGAGTATCACCTCATCGCCGACAAGGCGCCACAAATCTTATGCAAATACCGTTTAGCATTTATAGAATTTTAAACAACTTCTCGAGTGCGCATAAGCCCCAAATTAAGGGGCACTGTAATTGCTGCCAAGCTGCTGATCGTTTTTTGCACAATCCGCGTTCGTTACGGCCGGTATCAACCTGATTCGCGGCCCTGATATAAAACACTGATGCATATTTATGCGTCTGGGCGCGGCGCCTGGCTCGGCAGGCACTTCAGGAAGACGGAGCGGATCAGGGCTTTCCGGCCGGCCCGGCCCCGGCCCGGCCGCTGATCTGAGCCATTACACGGGCAGGCCGGCCGGCTCGCCGAGACAGTCGGGGCGAGTCGGGCCCGCCCATTGGCCGCCCGCCCCGAAAGTTCGTTATTTGCGTCATAAAATTGACGTCATGTCCATAAAAGAGGCGGCCGTTCGTCGTTTGCGGACTGCGCCTCGCCGCGATGCACGCTGCAGTAAAGCCCTCAAGCCGAAAAGTTGCAATTAATTCGGAGCGTAAAGAGCGCGACTAAA